TGTGTGTGTGTGTGTGTGTGTGTGTGTGTAGGTAGTTGGTGTGTACTGTGCTGTGGTTTTCTCTTTCTACGAAAAAAAAATTCTCTCCAAGTTTGCCCTTTGAGAAATGTTGCAGTTATGATACCATGCTAGTTCAGTGGAAACAATTCAACAATGAGTGCGTTTGTATTTCTTCTGTGCAAAATCTTTCCCTTGTTATCTGAACTGACTTAATGTAAACTCAACCTACTATCTAACTGACTTGATGTAAACTCCACCCACTATCTAACTGACTTGATGTAAACTCCACCCACTATCTAACTGACTTGATGTAAACTCCACCCACTATCTAACTGACTTGATGTAAACTCCACACACTTTCTGTCTACTCACAGCAATAAGATTTAGTTGGCTTTGTTTGATTTTGTGTGTCTCAGAGCGTAATTTAGCTTAGGAAAAAATATACTGTATCTGGTGGGTGGTTTGGCAGGTGCTCTGGTGTGGTTTGCTTCTTTCCTATCAAACATCTATGGTCCTGATCTCTTCACCTTCTTTTTGTGTGTTTGTTACTCTCTTGTAACACTTTTAATCTTCGGCACTTATATGACCTTATTGTGTTGCAAGTGCCGTAAAACACTTACTAAAACTAAAACTCCACCTACTATCTACTCACCACAGCAACAAGATTTAGTTGGCTTTGTTTGATTGTGTGTATCTCACTCAGAGTGTGACTAAGCTTACGAGAAAATAAACTGTTTCTGTCTTTTCTTCCAGCTGATGGGACAGTCAACGCTATACAGGAGGACATGGCGGACATGTCTCTGGATGGAAAGGTAGTGGGTGGTTTTTGGGTGCTCTGATGTGGTTTGCTCCTTCTGTCCTATCAAACGTCCATCGTCCTTATCTCCCCTTCTGTCCTATCAAACATCCATCCTCCGGATCTCTCCTCCTTCTGTTTTATGTTTGTTACTCTTTTGTAACACTTCTAATCTTCGGCACTTATATGACCTTATTGTGTTGCAAGTGCTGTAAAGCTCTTACTGAAACTAAAGTCTTTTATTTTAGTTGTATTTGTGATCACTATTTGAGTGTTTTGCTGGTCCATTTTCGTTTTTCATGGTAAGTGGAAGTATGCGAATGTAATGTTCAGTATGAAAGAATCTGTAAGTTGTAGAATCAAGACAAAGTGTGCATAATTTCAGGTCAATTCAACTGTATTTAGGCTCTTAGATCTAAGAGAAAATTCTATAGCGGTTGCCCCCTCTGCCCCTCATAGCTCATGAAAGAAAAGGTTTTGACTTTTCTGATGTATGGTAAGTTGAAGCGTGCTGAGAAAATGAGTTATGATTTATGTGAATGGAAATATTCGACCAAAAATTAACTCAGGGGTCAGGTTTGTAGAACTTCAACTGATGCCGTTTTCTTTGAGTTTAACATATCTTTATGAATTTTTATAAATAAATTGTACAAACTCAACCTATTTATTTGACTTATCTATGTCTGTGCTGCTAAAATTGGAGAAGTATCTCATGTTATTGGCATGCCTCACATATCTTCATGCGGACATTTCACAGGAAAGTAAAGGCGCTTCCGCCGCTCCGGTGACCAGCAATGATGACGATGATGATGACGAAGACGACGATGAGGAAGCTGAAGATATGGAGGCTTTTGAAGAGAGTGGCATGCTGGAGGAACAGGACGAGGTATGCGGGCTGGAAGTTGTTTGTTGCATGTCTGTCTTTGTTTGTGTTTTTCTCTTTCGAGAAATCTGGATTGATAACAACAACCTCTAAAGGGAAAGGAGATGAGGGAAAGGCAGTGGATTCTATTGGTGTCTGTATTCTCTTTTTGGAGTTAATACTTTACTTTTTTCTTCCGCTTGTACCGTGGGGTGTCGCGGGGAGACACAGGCGTCTGTCTGCAGCAAGTCGTGTGGCCTGTAGGAGGAACATCCCG